ATCATGAAATTTGCATGTAAATGGTGGGAACTGGAAAGGATCATCCTGAGAGAGCTGTCCCAGAAGCAGAAAGACACACACGGTATATACTCACTCATACAGACATATAACATAGGATAAACCTAGTAAAATCTGTACATCTAAAGAAACTAATCAAGAGAAAGGACCCTGACTAAAACACTCAATCCCCATCCTGAAAGGCAAAGAGGATGGACATCAAAAGAAGAAGAAAACAGGAAACAACCTAGGAACCTGCCTCAGAGGGGCTTCTGAAAGGCTCTGCCCTGCAGACTATCAAAGCAGATGCTGAGACTTATGGCCAACTGTTGGGCAGAGTGCATGGAATCTTATATAAGAAGTGGGAAATAGTAAGATCTGGAGAGGACAGGGACTCCACAAGGAGAGCAACAGAATCAGAAAATTTGAACACAGGGGTCTTCCCAGAGACTAATTACTCCAACCAAGTACCAGGCATGGAGATAACCTAGAACTCCTGCACAGATGTAGCAGAGTTCAGTGTCCAAGTTGGTTCCAGAGTAATGGGAAGAGGGACTGCCTCTGACATAATCTGATTGGCCTGCTCTTTGGTCACCTCCCCCGTGAGTGGGGAACAGCCTTACCAGGCCACAGAAGATGAGAATGTAGCCACTCCTGATGTGATCTGATAGACTAAGATCAGAAGGAAGGAGAGGAGGACCTCCCCTATCAGTGGACTTAGGGAGGAGCATTTGTGAAGAAGGGGGAGGGAGGGTGTTACTGGGAGGTAAGGAGGGAGGATTTATGGGGGATACAAAGTGAATAAAGTGTAATTAATAATAAAATAAAATAAAATAAAATAAAAATATACATAAACAACAACAACAAAAGAAAATAGGAGGTGGGGAAACACTTTATATTCATCTTTCTCTCAAGAAATGATCCTACCTTAACAGCAAATAATGTTCTAATCCTCTGTTTTTATTTGCTCATTTACAGTGATTCTGTGTCTAAAGTTTTACTTATTTGCAGTCAGCTTGCTGCTTTCTTTTTAAGCTGAGTGTGACTCTCAATCTTCAACAGCCATTAGCTTAGCCAGTGTATTCTCAGCTTACTTAAATTTCAGGATTCATATTGTGACTTTTCCTCCCAGCATCCCATTAACTGTTTCAAAGCAATGTGCCATTGAAGTGTTGTGGCTATGTTTCTTGCTTAGTTATTCTCTCCAGTGAATCTCAAGCTATTGATTTTGTTTGTCAGTTGAGGGAGGATTTGTCATGTTTACCTATAGTTTGATGCTGTTGAGTCTTGGAGATTGCTCCCTCCTAGGTCTTTAATGTGTGTTTCCTACATTTGGTTGTTGCTGTAACAGTTTTCAACATTTACATTTTTGCACATCCTTTATTTAGGTTGAGAGCAGCTCTTCAAAATTAAATAGTTCATTGTTCCTGTGATCACATTAGACCCAATAGTACACTTACAAATATTGAATTTTCTTAGTGTTTAAAATATTCTTATGGCACATACTCATTGCATTTTATTTGATCAATCTTACCATCTAAACAAAAATTTTGTGGTACTCTTATTTTAACAACCATGTTGGGAAATACGCTTTGTTTGGAAGAAAAAGCAGGTGTTAGAACAGTAAGGGTTTAGGAAGTAATTTTTCTGCTATCTCTAAGTGTTGAAGTTGTTTGAACAAATTTTTAAGTTGTGAACTATAATAACTTAATTCTTTGCTTTTTAAAATCTTTTCTCAGGCTGGTTGTAGTTGGGCATGCCTTTAATCCTAGCACACACCTGCTGCTTAAAGGACTGGCATGTTCTATTAGCATTGTTTCAAAATATATTGGAAGCTTTTAGAGGCTGATACTCTAATAAAAAAAATTTTGAAGAGTTTGAGCTAGGCTGTGGTGATGTACACATTTAATCTCAGTAGTTAGGAGGCAGAGGCAAGCAGATCTATGGGTTCAAGGTCAGCCTGGTTTATAAAGTGTGTTGAAGGACATCCAGGACCATACAGAAACCATGTCTGCAAAAACAAACAAATTATCAGTTAATGTTTTCATCTCATAGTTTCATAAATGTATTCATGTTGATATTTAAGTTTTGGGGAGATTATTGAAGTAAGAATTGTTGATTGTTTACAATAAGGAATAGTCCAAATAACAAATATAGCTCTCATTGTACATCATAGCTGCTGCTAACATTTCTACATTGTTTATGCTTCTTTGAACATCTTTATGGCATGTACTCTCTCAATTTTCTGTCCTTTTCTGCTTTGCTCTTTATTCTTTCTTATTTAAAGTGAGGGCCTCTGAAAGATTCTCCCCAGCAGGTATCAAAGCAGATTTAGAGTCATAGCCAAAACTTTGGGTAGAGTGCAGGAAATCTTGTGAAAGAAGGGGGAGATGAAAGTCCTGGAGGGGACTGGAGTTCCACAAGGAGAGCAACAGAACCAAACAAAGTGGGCCCAGGGGTCTTTTCTGAGATTGATATTCCAACCAAGGACCATGCGTGGAGATGATGTAGAACCCCTGCGCATAGGTATCCCATGGCAGCTCAATCTCCAAGTAGGTACCCTAGTAAGGGGAATTGGCTGTCTGTCATGGAACTCACTGGCAGGCTCTTTGGTCACCGTCTCCTGAGGGGAGGGGGCAGCCTTACAGGCCACAGAGGAAAACATTGCAGCCAGTCCTTATGAGACCTGATAGGCTAGGGTCAGATGGAAGGGAAGAGGACTTCCCTATCAGTGGACTGGGGGAAGGGCATGGGAGGAGAAGAGGGAGGAAGGGAGGAAGGGTTCTATATCTGGAATACAAAGTGAATAAATTGTAATAAATAAATAAAATTAAAAATAAAAATGAACTATCTCCACTTACTGTTTTGATTTGTGTTTTTCCTCTCCCCTCACACACACTGTACACACAGTTGATATTTTGATTATTTGAGTTAAAATGCCAGTTTTTAATGATTCCTAATTCCTGATCATGTGACTGGACCAAAATTATTGATTGTATTTTTTGCTAAAATTATTGTAATTACTTTTTTATTGTTGGGTCTTATCTTATTTGCTTGAATTCTGTTGTTCTTCCTTTGTTGTTGATTTACGTAATTCTTATTTATATATATATATATACTTTAAAAAATTTTAAGAGCTGCCACAGTTGAATGCTTAAAGTAAAATTGTCTATCAGTAAGAGTAATGGCAATATTCTTGTACATACCTGTTCTGGTTACTTTTCTGCTGCTATGATAAAACACTCTGACTACAAGCCACTTGGGGGAAGATAGGGTTGATTTCACTTACACTTCCAGGTCCTAGTCCATTATTGAGGGGAGCTAGTATAAGAACCTGAATGCAGACTGCTTGCTGGTCCATGTCCATTACCTCTGACTTGAGAACTCACTCACAGTGAAGGAGGCACAGCGGAAACCATGGACTGACGCTGGTTGTTGGCTCAGTCACAGGCTCATGCTAACCTAACTTTCTTATGTAGCCACAGGACTACCTGTATAAGGTGTTACAAGATGGCTGCCCACAGTGGGCTGGGTACTCGTCTATCAATTAAGAGTCAAGACATGTTCACAGGCCAATATATGATAGCTGGTTTCTCCATTGAGGCTTTCCTCTCTTGGCTGTGTCTGGTTGACATCTAAATAATTATTTTATACATTTAAGTGTGCTTAGTTTATATTTACTTTTAAAATTCTTATAGTGTGTTGTATTTTTTGATACATAGATCCGAGTTTTGATAAATATATATAACATATATATAAGAAGACATTGATAACTCGCCTCAATTTTCTTTATTTTGGTTCTTGGCTACAAAATGTGTTTATTTTCAATCTTGAAAAGTAAAAAATACAAATCATCCCTAAAACTACCAACATGTTGCAGTCTGTCTGGACATTTTTTAGAAGATCCATTTTTCTTTCTGTTTAAAAAGTGGTTAAAAAGTGTACCTGTTATTAATAGTCTTTTTCCCCACGCTTTTTAGTGTATATATTATTCTTTTAGTGTATATATTACTTAGGTCTTGATTGATTTAGTGTTTGTTTCCTTGTGGCCCTTAGCAGTGCTGTGACGAGTGTGTTCTTATGCTGCCAGAATTGCTCCTTGAAATAGAGGAATTTCACTTTTTTTTTCTTCCTTTTTTCTTTTTCTTATGGCTCTGCACAGTTTTAAGAATTACTGTGTTATCAAATCAATGTTTGAAATGTTTAGGCTATTTATGTATTCTGACAAAGGAGAGAGTTGAAAACCCCCTTTCCTGTGTTCTTGCACATATTGATGATCATAATGTTATCTTTTGTCAGTTTGGCAGATGAGTAATATAATAGTTTTCATCTGCATTCTTTGATCATGCACCTATATTGTTTTATATGCTTGTTAGCTGTCAATAGATGTGAATCACTAGTCTTAGTGCATCACTTTTGGCTTTTGTCCAGAAGAATAAGGTTTAGTATTTAAATGATGCCCTTGCTAATGTTTATCTTCAGTTATATCTTGGGATTTTGTCCTGTCCTATTTTGATTTTATTATGTTTTTTTGTTATGTGAATGTTCTTGTGAAACTAGTCATTTTCAGTTTTTACTTATTTATATTTTGAGCATGCATGTTGAATTCAGGTTTTTTTTCTTTTTAAATGACAAGTTTATATATATCCTCACTTAGTATTATCTATCAAAAATTCTTTTCACATTTTTTTGTAATCCTAAAAGACTAGTTAACTTTTTACTCTGTTCTACGAAGAAAATCTATACTATTTCTTGCATATGAATGTCTTTTTATTTACTCTTACTATTGTATGTTTTTTATTATTCGTATGGTTTCAAGTAGCATGAACACGTCAATAAAACCTTGCATAGTGACACTTAATGTCTTCTGAATTAATACATTATTATGATGGTGGTGATGATGATTATATTGGCTTGTATTTTCAATATCTTCCACCAGACTTAAGGGGGAAATAGTATCTATACATATTGCTAAATGTCTGTTTATTTTTAACATGCTGCAGGATATTGAAGACAAAGTAAGTAACAACAAACTTGTAAATGAGCAAGTGGATTAATGTAAATAAACAGAAACTTGACTGAGCAGTTACTCTGGTATAGAGTGAGCCAGGCAGCATGTGATTACTTTGCAAAGAAATATGAAACATGAACAAAGATGGAAATGTCGAGATACATTGATTTCTTCTAAGTAGTAGTCAAACATCTATTTAACCTTCAGTGAACTTTCGCTGAAAAAGTCAGTATAATAACTTTGTTAATATGAGGTAATATATAAAGAGAGGTCATTTCTGTTTCAGGAACAAAGATTAGTTTAGCATGATTCCATATAGCAACAACAGTTTTTAAAAATGTTTGTATGCGTTGTAACTAACCTTAACATCCACAAGTGTCCTTCATTGATTTTATGAAGAATTGAATATTACTACTTTTTAAAAAGTTTATAAAAGAAGATCTTGTAAAATTGATATTATGACTAAATGTCTTAAATTAGTTTCTACTCAAAACCTTCAAATAAAGACTAAGCAATAATTATGGCTTCTCCATCCTTTAGGCTATCCCTTCATGTATAGGGGAATGAGATAAATACATGTAACTACTTACATGCTGCACTGATCATTCAAGTCCTCCCAAGTGTAAAGTTTTTGTGCATATGTCTTTAGGAATTTTTGGTTATTTGTTCAGCGTTAGCAAACAAATATCAGATCAAAGTTTCTTCATGCATACTACTAATCCTTAAAATTATGTTTTGAAAAGGAAATTAAATAAGACAGTCTGCTGTACACAGTATTCTGACATTTCTAAATACATTTGGACAAAGTAGGACACAGCTGTTACCATAAGAAAAAACACAATGCAGTTTCAGTCTTTACATTCCAATGTAGCAATCACCATCATATTGCTATTTTTTCTATGGCAGGGACCTAATACACTGCAACCACTGTCAGCTTTGCATACGTTTCTAGCGAAGTTTTTGCCTGAGATTTGCTTTGTGGTTGCTGCTTTTGCTTTTTTCTCAATATAGCATATTCCTCGTGTCTTTTTTAGGCTCGGCTGCTGGAAGAGAAAGACCGAGTGATACGGAAGCAGGATGCCTTCTACAAAGAACAGCTGGCCAGACTGGAGGAGAGGGTATGGCTATTTCTTGTTTTTGCTTCTCTTTTGCCCCATCTGTAGCTTACCATATATTTGTTTAAAAACCAACAAATTAGGACTTAAAATTGCGTTTCTTTGTTAAGAAGTGAAGAGTCCAAGCAGCTGGATATTGTCTATGAGAACATCATTTTGTGTGATTGTGTTATTGGTTTGTTGGGTTTTCTGTACCTGAGAGCACCCTCACATAATTTACCTTATGTAATGTGTTGTAATCTGCATTGCTCCAGGCCAAACAGCAGGCCATTATTTTTACTCCTCCATACATTGTTTATATTATATTCTGAGTGCATTCCTGGATATGGTACTGGTATTTGTCTTATTTGGGGTTTAGGTATTGCTTCTTCATCTATTTTGTGTGTGTGTGTGTGTGTGTGTGTGTGTGTGTGTGTGTGTGTGTTTGAGACAAGTGTTTCTGTTTTGAAACAATATACCTCTGAGGATGACTTTGAACTTCTGATCCTCCTGCCTGCTCATTTGCATGTCAACATACCTGGCTTGAGGTGGTACTGTTTTGAAGGATGTGCTGTCAATCAAAAACTTCACTTTGCTGCAGTTACAGCTTAGAATTCAATGTCTCCTCCAAGAGAGGTAATAGGAACTTAATGTATGTAGGACTTAGGGGAGAGTTTTAGGATGAGAGAAGGCATATGCCTGGTCAGGCTGGATTCCAAGGTGGACCAACATGCAACAGAGGGATCAAGACTGGAAGAATAGAAGACAGTGGGCTTACAAATGATGTTTGAGCATCTCGTCACAACCCCTGCTCTGTGGATTTGATTTGTTGTTTAGATAACTTGATATGAAATCTATGGAGTTCCAAAGTAGTAACCTTTCTCCTCTATTTAAGATCCAAGGTTTGAATTTTTTTTTTTTTTGGATTATATCATTTGATCAGAAGTAGGAAAAAAAGAAAAATGCACCATTAAATTCAGCTCAGTGTAGCTATTTGTATTTCAAATATATTTCCTTGTCTCCTGTGTCATGGGACCCAGAAGATCTTTAGTATAAGGATCATTTGAGCATTTGTTCTGCAGATAACTGTTTATAAACTTAATGTGTGCAGGTGCTGGTCCTTATACCCTAGATATATAGTAGACATTTATAAGCTTAAACATCTACTTTCGTAGAACATAATGTCAGTTATAGATAGTGTAAGGTGGCATAGATAAGATGGAAAGCAGTAAGTTACCAAGAAATAGGGATTCCCCTGACCAAGGTATAAGTCTGGGGTTGGGTGGAGACAGAAGATCTATATGATGAGATAGCAAGGAGTAGGCCTTTAGTCACAGAAAAGCAGGTTAGTGTTGTTCCTGGGATGGAGGTGTAGTCACCACATATGGGAAGGACAAAAGCCTGTTGGCATCATCAGCAAACAAGTGAGAGTAGAAGCAAAGGAGAGTTGGCAAAATATCAAGTTAGAAGTGGGGTAGCTAGCCAGGCATAGTGACACACACCAGTTAGCCCTGCCTTGTGAGATGGATCCAGGAGGATCAGGAGTTCAGTGTCATCCGCAGCTACACAGCAAGTCTGAGGCTACATGAGAACCCTACCAAACAGGGGGTGGGAGGTGAGAAAGGAAGAAAATTGGATGGTCATAACTTTAAGTAAGGTGCTAATAATAAACTGAAAAGTTTCTGGTTATGCATGTAAAAAATACAGACCAGATTTGATGATGCTTTTGAAAGTGAATAGAAGAAAGGCCCTGGCATAATCTAGGTCTTTTCTCATAACTAGTTGATAAGAGTTGTGTATAGGAAAAGATTATCCAGGTGTCAATGAAGATATGGGTGGTAGACTATATAAGGGGTTTGGTTTGGGGATTATTTGTGGTGATTCTTCAAACATTCACATAACGGTATTGAAAAGATATAATATGGCATAGTTTAGAGGAGAAACCAGTGATAAAATCCCCACAGTAATATTTTAGCTCATGTGTGCCTGTTGCATTTTCTTATCTTTCCTACTATAATGTGTAAATGAAAGGGACTGTGTACAAACTGAAGTTCAAATTTTGTTTAATTCATAAAATTAAAAAAAAGTAACTGTTTCATTTAGGAAGGGCATTCTTAGGACTGTGTGGACCTGCAGGTGATCCTGACTTGATATGCAGGTCACAGTCTGTAGAAGTGCCACTTAGGTAACCAGTTCTTACATCATTCATCTCTTGGTTTCTTCAGGTGTTAGGGGTAAGTAAGATTTCAGTCACTGGCTTGTTAAGATGACCTAAGTCCAGGATCTAAATAGTGCTTGGGTAGCATGTGTAACCCTCTGGGTTCAACCCCAAGTAATACTGCTGCCAAAATAAAAGATGACATAACAGCTCTTTGAAAATTGGCAAGAATTTATCAAATTGAGGTGTTTTCATCATAGGATATGCACAAGATTCTAATAGTCATGAAATAGCTTTAATGTCAGTCAACCTCCTTATGTCTTCCACCTAGTACTTTAAAGCCTTGTTTTTCTTTATTGCTGATATTCCCAGAGGACGTATTTTATTTGTTCTGGTGGGTTTCATCTGTGATTACATAAAGACTATTCAGTCTGTAGTGAGGCATTTTGTAAAACCTGAGAAGCCATTTTTTTTTCATGTTGTTTATGGCTGTAAGGGTACACTGTGTAAGCCCTTCTATTAGGACTTCTGAATGTACATGGTCTTGAGAAGTATAAAAGTGCTGAACTGAATGGTACTTAGTATAAGAAAATATAATGATAATATGCCTGTGGGGAATCATATGTTCACAGTCATTCCAGGTTGCTATTTATTCGAAGTGGATTTGGACACATCTTTTATGTAACCACATGAAATAATAAACCTTCAAGTCAGTCTTATTACTAGTGCAGAGTGTGAAATCAGCAGGTCCTTTAAGGATCTGGGAATGCAACGCAGTGTTAGAGTGTATGCCTTGCATCTGTAATGCCCTGCATTCTTGAGGACCACTAAAACTGAAACAAGTTTTCAGATGTGATCCTGAGGCTATCCTTATGGTAGACAAGGCACAGTTAGTGTGTGTGGCCCACCGTTGCTTGATTGCTTATCTTACTCCTTCACTTACCATGTTGATGCACATTTCTTTTGCAGTTGTGAACTAGTCAATTGGAGCATCTGTAACTTGTTCCATTCTGTAATACAGTCCAGTTTACTCCTTGATTTTATTTCAATTAACTGTTCATCAGCTAGGTAACTGCTGTGCATCAAGTCCTCTTCTCCCAGGTGTTTAGTGTGTGTACCAGGGATCTGAGAACACTTGTCTCTTTTCACTAAAGTGTGAGGCTTATAAATTTAATTTTCTCAGACCACAGTTTTATTCTTCCTGGAAGCAGATTCCAAAATCATAGTTATTCACAGGTCCTCATTTCCCAGCAGTCAGAGGTCGTAGACTTTCCAGATAGTGCCAAGTTAGATGAGACCATAAACTCTTAAGTGTCAGAAACCTCATCTGTAACTTTGTGGCCTGAAGGGAGCTTGATGAGTACGACTCTTTGCTGAAGAAACCAGAACAATATTACCTCCAGGCTAAGAGTTTGCCTAGAGGAAGCCTCAAGCAGTCTCTAGAAAAGACTGCACAGTGTTCTCAAGGGACTGGCTCAAGTCCCTCAGGCAGTTCTCTTCTATTTCACAAGTTTATTGAGTCATAATTTGACAGATCTATAATGCTTCACAGCTCTCTATACATTGTACAGTATCATGATAACTGTACATTGTATAATAATTGTGATTGAGTATGTATGTTGTGTTAGACATATTTTATAGTTTGTCTCTTTTTATCCTCACAAGTGACTGCATGAGGCTGCCCACTGTATGAATTCCCTGAAACTGAAAGCAACTTGCCCCAAGAATACAAAAGCAGAAAATTATCAATACGTTTGGTTTTGAGTCAGCCTTCTCAACAGTGCTTAGGGCCAGGGCACTGCTGTCTTTAAAATGTGTGAGCTTATGCTTAAGTTGTTAAGTCTGGCTGGGTACAGTATTAATTCTTTGAGTGCTAAGTTAGCAACTCTCACTTCTAGTTGAATTCTTCAGGACCAATTGATGATTGCCTGCTCATAACCTAAAAGTATTAAACACTCAAAAATATGCACTTGCCTTCTCAGGATTTGGCATTTTCAGAGAAACTTTTACCAAAAAACAATGTTTTCTGTGCCTAGAAACTGAAGTATGATATAATCCCCAAAGTTATTTACTGTCTGTGTTTAGTGCTTTCCCCGTCAGTAACGAATCTGTAGCCATTTGAGCAGTTTGGCATCCTGAGGTGCCCATGCTTTCACCTTTAATTTTGTATCATAGTCAGCCCATTCTTCCTTCTGGAAAGAAAACATACTTTACTAAATAGTTTTGGCGGATAGTTTGTTTGAAGTGGATTGTTGGAATCTTCTTAAAGAAAATGTATTTTGCCAGCAGTTAGTTGTTTCTAACAAAGAAAAGTTAGGTTGTCATCAGTTGGAGAACATGAAGCTCAAAGTCACACTATCCATAGTTCTTCTAGGATGAAGACCCTTGTGTCCCCAGGACATCTTGAAAACTTGATCCCTTTGAGGGTTTCAGTGTCATATAATTAAATTTTTGTGCTGAACCAACCTCTTTGTTCTTGGCTGTCTTAGGGATGATGGGATTTGGCATAGCATGCAGGGGATCTGTAAAAGCCCTGGTGGCCTTAGGAGCTGAGGGTGGTCAGAGAACTTAATGAGCTTAGTACTGAGATTAACCTGGTTATATTTGTACATGTTCCTTGTATTTCATAGACTCCTGGGTTTCAGCATACACCTTGCAATAAACCATCTAGGATTAACATACAGAGGAGATTGCACCAACTCTGCAGAAGAGAGCAGCAAAAAGGGAATATTGAAAAAATACATTGCCATGAAAAAGTAAAGTATATACTTGCTTGTCGCCAGGGGAGAGAGTAACTGATTAAGTTCTGAGACTCATGCTTCCATCAAATGAGCAATGGTTTTTGAGGCCCCTCACTTCCAGTGGA